TTTTGGCATTGAGTGCCATACGCATCGAACGTTTCCAGGCAGCATAGTTTTCTCCATTAAGGAGGTCAGGGACGAGTATAGTTCCTGGGTTGTCAGCAGGGGTCAGGAAGTAAGGGGATGTGAGATCACTAATCAGTTGTGAGGGTGTGGGATTAGACATGGTGACTCGTTTTCACCGTTTGCAGATTTTGGAGTTTGCAGATTTTGGAGAATTCAGAGGGGAACCCGCTCTGATACCATGATAAAATAGATAAGGAGGGAAATTGATGAAGAAGAATAGATTCTTGTGTCTTTGGTGATTTACAGTGCAGTATTTATACATGAATCCTAGGTCTATACGTGATTTACAGTGCAGTATTTATACATGAATCCTAGGTCTATACATGGTAAAGTTCTTGTAATGGAAACAATGTTTATGGAGAATGCCTGCCTAATTTCTGTGATTGATTATGTGCTGTAATTTGGGGCTGTAATATGTAAGCTGTAATAAGTTGAACCGTCAGTTCATTAATTTCTTCAAATAATGCACAACTAATTCATTAATTTCTTCAAATAGCTTGGAAAAAAAGCTTGTTCTTTTTACCTCGTAAAAACCTCAACTTGCAATAGTTTTTTCTGGAAAGAGAAATACTTTTAATAAATTAAGAGTAGACTAGTTTGCGTGTGTCTCGTCTAAGCTAGTCAGCACTCCCCATTCAGCGGTGGAATTAGGTGGTGGTGCCGTGGTGGAGCAAAGAAGCATGGGGTGTTGGGTTTATTAATTTGTCACGTGATGGATGAACTTACATAATTTAATTGTGGGAATCATGAACATAGTTTTCACCTTGATTTTGATATTGCTAATGGAATTCGAGTACATATGTAATTTCATCTTTAGATTAATGATATTGGGTTAGTATATATATCAAATTTCATATTAGTATGAATTGGATTAGGCTGGTCTATATGGAAATTCAACTTTGGATCAATTCAAATGATGCATTCAAGGTGTTTGTGAAAATGGAAATACAAATATTAGAATGAGAAAAGTGAGATGATATGTCACTTTTTAAAGTCCTCTGATGTTGTCTAAACTTTTCATTTAAATTCATTATTATATCGTGCTAAAAATATAACGTGACTTTTGTTTTAAACCAATACTATTGAGGATTATTAAATCACAGTCCAAAAAAAAAAGAAAAAAGAAAGTGACATACATTCAAAAAAGTGACACAAATTTAAAAAAAAAAAACAACTTTCAATCAATTCAATTGATGCATGCAAGGTATTCGTGAAAAAGTGACATTTTGTTACTTTCCTCTAAAAAAAAGTCACATTATCTTATTTTAGCAATTAATTAGATGTATATGTATGAGTTTTTGAAAATTTAACGAATTTAAACATTGTTTTACGTTAATACATATGAAAAATTAACTTTGAATCAATTCAATTGATGCATACATGCTTTTGCAAAAATGAGAATGTGAAAAATGAGATTTTGTTACTTTTCTCTTTAAAAGTCACAATATCTCATTGGAGCAATTGAATATATGCATTCGTGTGCATTTTGAAAATTTAAATATATGAATTCAAACATTGTTTACGTCAATACATATAAAAAATTAACTTTAAATCAATATAGTTTATGCATGCAAAGTGTTTGTGAGAATTAGAATGTGAAAAAAGTGGCATTCTATCACTTTTATTTAAAAAAAGTCAATGTATTTCATTGGAGCAATTAATTAGATGCATATGTGTGTGTTTTTTAAAATTTAAATATACGAATTCAAACTTATTTTACTTTAATACATAGTAAATATTAAATTTAAATCAATTTAATTGATGGATGCAAGATTTTTGCGAAAATGAGAATGTGGAAAAGTGTCTTTTTAAAAATTTTCTCTAAAAAAAATTCAAAATAACTCATTGGAGCAATTAACTATATGCATATGTGTGCATATTTGAAAATTTAAATATACGAATTCAAACATTGTTTTACGTTAATACATACAAAAAATAACTTAGGATCAATTTAGTTTATGCACGCAAGGTGTTTGCAAAAATGAGAATGTGAAAAAAGTGACATTCTGTCAATTTTCAATATAACAAAAGTCATAGCATTTCATTTGAACAATTAACTAGATGCATGCGTGTGCGCTTTTTAAAATTAAAATATACAAATTCAAATCTTATTTCACGTTAATACATACAAAAAACTAATTTCGGATCAATATAATTTATGCATGCAAGGTGTTTGCAAAAATAAAAATGTGAAATCTATTGAAGCAATTAACTATACGCATACATGTGCATTTTTGAAAATTTAAATACACGAATTAAAACCTTATTTTACGGTAATACATATGAAAAATTAACTTTGAATCAATTCAATTGATATATGCAAAGTGTTTGGAAAAATGAGAATGTGAAAAAGTGAGATTCTTAGAGAAAAAAAGGGTCACAATATCTCTAAAAAACTATATGTTGTGATGATTGAAAACATATTCGTAACATCTATATATATATAAAAACAGAAGTGCCGTCAAAAAAAATTTCCCGCCAAAATGTACTTTCCTCTTATGGAATTCTGATTAAAGTCCGTTTACCCATTAGTCAAACATTACAGCATGCTTTTATTGATAGTA